TGCCTAAACATTTTCAAAGAAAATCAATTCAAAAATGTTAGTTCAATTAAATTATTTGTGTGAAGGACAGACTTTCTGAAAGTCTGCAATATCCTCCTCAAGGCTACACTAACTCCTGCAAGAATGTGAAAATTCATAGGGAATGTCAGAATCATATGGTTGGTAACATTAGGAACGCTGATCCAGTAAGACATAAGCAACATTTAGAGGAACAAGAATATTTCTCACCAGATAAGAACAGTACAGTTACTCAGTAAGCGTGCTCCAGTTTTATTAGACGAATATCTTGATTTATCAATCAGCAAGACTGAATTGGAAGGAAATAGTCACTTGTCACCAAATGCTCACAACTAATTTCCACTCAACATAATCAGTCAGCGAAACAATTTCAGCATTTCTCTAACTTTAACTTATCCAAACTCTAAATATGTAGCTTATTAACTTACACAACTAAGGTATTTTCTCATCCAAAAAAAGGCATAAAAACCAAATATGTATATTATGTGCAGATGTATGTAAATTTGATAGTAAGAACAAACACATTTTAATTCTAAAAATGTTGCAAATAGAAGATAATTTTCATCCCTCACTGCAAAATCTCACATAACACAGTATATTAATTTCATATTGATTCTGTACAAGCCTAAATCAGAACACAAGCAGTTTTACTGTAAAACTAGTAAAAACAGTATTTGCAGTACGTCTTAACAATTCTTCAGTAGTGGTGAATGGCCAGATTATTTATATTGAGTGAAAAATCACAGGAGTAACCAAATGCATTTCAGTTTTTGCTAAAGACTTATGTGGACCTTTAGTAACTATATCCATAACATTTTCCCCCACAATACTCCTGTTATCTGTAACAGACAAAGAGAGAGTACAAAAATTGATGATCACCTTCACTACTGACCAGCACAATCTAGGCATATGTGCAAAAAGGAAAGAGTTTAGATAGAGAAACAGAATGTTTTGCCATTTCCGAGGCTGAGATAGTTGTTACCACAAGAATTCAGTTACGATGGTTAAATATTAAGAGCTTTCAGAATTCGTCATCAATTCTAAATATTTTGAGCGATTATGGCTACTAATCAGAGTCTGTGGGAGACCAAGAATGGTAGAACAGCTAACAATAACTGCAGGAGAGGGAATGAATCATTCCATTACAACAATCTATCTCTGGGATTTCCATGTGTAGATGGGATACACGGAATTCTCGTTTGGTTTGGATACTCTTAAGCATGGGACGGGTTTCCACATGTGTCAGACACCCGGCTGACAACAAGAAAATCAAAAGCTAACAAGTACATGTACTTTCCAAATGTTTTAACAAAATCATTCAGTGGAGCTTCTGCTTTTGAATAACCACACTAAATCAAGCACATATAGAAACAGGAGTAGGCCATTCAGCCTCTTGAGCCTGTTCTGCCATTCTATAAGATCTGCACCTCAACGCCAATTACCCGCCTTTGCCCCATATCCCTTGATACCCTTAACTATCCACCTCAATCTTGAAAATTTACCTCTAAGGATAAATATACAGTATAAGATATTATAAGATGGCTGTTGGAAGTACATAACATCCTAGCATGCTTTATAGAAGAGCTCGATCAAGCTCACCTCTTCCACATTCACTATGAATGCTTGCAAAAAGTTAGCTTCTTTTGCTAAAAAATGGCTGACTTCCAGGTCATCAAGTCGCCAACAGCTTCACTTCCTGCTTGATATCGGCAGCAACCTGATGAGCAGGTTGGAAGGCAGGCAGCTCACTGTAAGCTGATTAACCCGGGCTGAAGCCAGGACAAGTCCACAGGGAATATACGTGAAACAGCATTACAAGGGGGGGTCTTAACAGTTCTACTATAATGTAATTAAATAAGTAACGCGCCCTTTTACACGTTACAAATAAAGTTCAAGACACCTGTTAAAGTGTAGCTTAGAAAATAAGTAACTTAGAAACATGTATTCTTAGTGTGACCCAACAATACTCCTGGATGAAGAAAAGTGATAAGTTGGGGAGGGGAAGAGGAAGACAATACTGTATGTATCCATCCCACTGTATCAATTCCAAATAAACATATTTTAAACTGCAATATTTTGTAGTTCCAAAATGAGGAAAACCTTTTGCAATTATAAATTAGGTTAAAAACTGTTAGAACACAGATGCTGTTCAATTTAGTGCATGTGCACTGCCTTATTCGTTCGCAGTTTGCATGCATTTCCCCATCACAAAGGGCAAAGGGTGGCCAGAAACAGTTCTAGCGATTGAACATCACTCCTGTAGCACAATATCAACTGAGTCATGTTCACAATTCTGCCTTCTGGTGGGTTCTGTCAAATAAGCATTTAAAACCATGAACTGCAAACACATCATAAACCAAGTTTCATATATATCTTTTGAACCAAGGTGATAAACAAGCTCTTGGGGTTCCTCCAGCCCATTTGCAAAGTCCAGGATCAAGCAGTGAAATGGATTTGTGGCAAACACGGGAAGCGGCTGCAGGAAGGAGGGCACCGGCCTACACTGACCTGTTATTGAGCATCCTGGAGGCAGAGTCAGCTTCACAGCGGGCATGTCTATTTGCCAAGGTTCCTCACATGAGGATCTGGATTAACCAGCTGGTGTCTAATAAGCAGCATTGGTCATCGAGAACATCAAGGTAGCTGCCACGTCACAAGCTGTAAAGATCCTCCCATCATGCTGAAGGCAGATGCCCGCCCGATAGCTGATGAGGAAACTCTGAGGCTTGGGACCCAACACAAACGCTAGGGTTCCAACCCTTGGCTCTGGCCAACCTGCAGCTAATACCACAGAATTAGGTAAGCAGGATGCATCCCTCTAGGGCGAGGGCGCATTTCATTCTAATAAACATCGCTGGAATTTCCATGTTCAGATGGGATTTTCTAAGCATGGTGATGGGTTTCTGCATGTGTCAGACATCCGGCTGACCAAAACCAACCAAAATATAATAGAAATTAATTGGGTTTATTTGAATCATCTCCCAAAGATTGTTTGTCAGATTGGTTTCTTATGCTGTAATTTATAGAAATTAGCTTCAGCAGCTTCAGTAATTTTTTCCAGCAAACAGCTCAGCTATAAGGCAGATCCAAGGTCTTATCCCTAATCTGTACTGAGCTAACTCACCTCAGATAGGGTAGCAGTAAAAACGCTTAAATTAATCTCTGGGTGCAGGATGATTAGAGAAAGGAAGAGAAAAAAACAGGGTGCCCATTACTAATCACTGTCCATTTTACATCAATATTCTACAAGGACAAGGAGCAGGTCTGGCTCTTGTACCCATCTTCTCCAACCCTCCCTCAGTCAAATAGTCTACCAGCACACCCCTCCCTCCCTCCCCCACCCTGACAAATAACAGCTTACCCAAGCTGTTGCTTGAAAAGATTTTGATAGTACGTGCAATGTTATTCCAAGGGCTTCTGGACAAAAAAAACCTTTTGTAATGTAACTCGAAGCAGTTTCAGGTCCAGTATCATCACAAAAACAGATATGAAACTAGCATTTGCATTGCTATATTTAAAGTCTTACATCTTAATTTGATGTATTTGGCAGATTCTGATTAGAAATATTTATACCTCTAATGATCTGCTAAATAAACATTATAGATTAAATATATATATATTTATATAAAACGACTACTTCTATTCCTATGACCTGCTCTTCTAGAAGTATCAAAGAGCTTCACAGGATATACTTTAAAGTGAATTGACTATATGTTGTGGATGCGGAAGCCAATTGCATACAGCAGTTTCCCACAAACAGTCATGGATTGACTGATCATATTATCATTACTTTTATTTATTGTTTATTTGTTTTGTTTAAAAGAGATTATTACCCCTGGAAAAGCGATCTGCCAATCGACCAACAACCGGGCTCCCACTCCCTCTGAGGTAAATAAAAGGCATGTGGAGTAATATAGTAACTAAATGCAAATATCACCCCATCATGTCCATCACTGAACTAAATTGACTCACACACGTTGACAGAACAGCTGCACCAACCCAGTTAAGGAATCAATTCGCTCATTATGTTATTAAGATATCTTTCAATGCGTTTTCATGTACCTTCGCAAAGAGTATGGGTACATTACATTTGAATTAACACACAAAGGATACCTTATTAGGCTAAGTTTTAATATCAGCACCTTGAAGCTGTTGTAAAAACAAATTTTCTTTTATTTACCTGTCATCACCAGATAATCTACTCTGTTCACTCAAAGGTAGTAGTAACACATAGGCAGGTGTTTGAAAGGCAACATCAACCCTTCCAGTAAATCAACTAATTGGCTATTCTTCATATCAAACTTAAGACAACAAATGTCACTAGGCTATTTGATCATGGGCATATCTAAGCCAAGCTCAATCAACACGCACATTCTGGGAAGAAAAAGGAACATCTATACTTGCACGCCTCTTCTCTGAACAGGACAACATTGAGGCCAAGTGTTATAGAAATAATAATACAGGCCAAGTGTTGTGCCGCCTTAAATAAATGACGAGGCTGACTTCAGCTAACGCAGCCAAGATAAAATGTGAGGCTCTGTGGCTCAGTACCATACTGAGTGGTGTACTTACCATTCCATCTGTTTCATTTTCAAATACTGGTGGTTTTATTGGGGGAAAAGAGAGCAGGTAGGAGTTCAATCAGGAGTTACCAAACCTAACAGGTAGGAAGATAAATTAACAATTGTTATGTATACAAAACACCCTGATTTAATTAGTTCATCCTTGTTGATATTATTTCTGCTCCTAGACACTATCTAGCTCAGTAACTCCTCCAAGAATATTCCTCCAATGATGTCATCAGCATTTCACTGTTTAAACTTGGGGAGGGGAAGAATAAAAGTTAATAATCATTCTTTGTAACTTGATTTTTTTGTGTTTTTAAAAACTACTGATGGTGAAACATGCTCTTAAGGAAAGTACACTATATTTCATGTCTTCACTACTGTGTATGCCAAAAAAACAGCATGTCCTGTTCTTACCTGTAAAGGTAACAGAGTGTTGCTATTGTTGTCGGTCCTGAAAACATTGTCTTCGATCCAGGATTTTGGTGTCAGTGTTGGGGCTGAACGAGGAAATTTGGGTGGCGCTATGACATTACTGGAGAAAGGTTTCTTCAGTGGAGAAATTTGGTTCATTGTTGCCGGCATCCCTACTCCAGCAGCTCTACGGTGATCTCTTGTCGACATGCCTCCCCAAGAGACTCCTGCGCTCCACCCACTGCTCTGGTGGCTGTTCCATGGAGATTGTTTCATTATGGGCTGCTAACAACAATAACAAACTTACTTTATTAAACCATAAATTACAAACGTCAGACATTTTGCAATATTTTCCATGCAACAATTAAATTCCTGTAGAAGAATTTAAACAACATTTTAAATTATAGGAATAGAAAAATCATTGAAAGATCAATGATAAAATTTCAGCTTTTGTCCCCTTCTTAATGGTTTGAACACTCCAAGTAGTGTGTTCAATTCCTTTTTATATAACTATTTTGTGAATGTCATGCTAGTATACAGAAGAGATGCCAGCATAAAGCAATCCCAGTTCACGTTCAGTTCGATTCACAGTAAATCCCCCACTTCTGCTGCTTCAAAATCAACCTTACAAGAACACTTCTCCAATATCCTAGCATTACATTCTCCAATTCTCCCACCATCCTTGGCCTATCTAAGCTAGATTGAAAATTTAATACCAACCAGTGACAAATTAAGAACAGTTTTGTGTTGTGGTATCTAAGAATGCTTGAAATAATTTCAGTTAGGCCTCTTAGATCTAACGGAGGAGACATTTGGATCATCAGTCTGGACTGATTTCAGCTGCTGGGATTTCTAACCCACTGCGACAGATTTTCTTTAACAGTAGTAATATAGCATAATATCCCCAGATTTTCAGGCACCAAAAATATGTCATTTTTCTAGTTGTTTTTGAATTCACATTAATGAATAATGCCTGTATTTGATTTATAGTGCTTATATCAAAATGTTTTACAGTAATTACTGTTAAATCTAATAGCTGTATTTGCAGACAAATACAGCAGCTAATTTGCTCACAGCAATGCCCCACAAACAGCCAAGAGGTGAATGACCAATTCATTTTGGAGGGTTGTTAGTTCGGACAACAGACGAAACTCCCTTCTCTTTTTCAATCATGTCCAACATCCACCTGAACAAACAAATAGGACTTTGATTTAACATCGAATTCAAAGAACGCTACCCCTGACAATGCAGCACTCCACCAACACTTCACTAAAATGTCAGCCTATACTGCAAGCTAAGTCTCTGACATGTGGCGTGAACCCACAATCTTCTGACCCAGAGGCGAGAGTGCTACCAACGGAGTCAAGCTGACATATCTTGTTCCAATTCCAGGTACAACCAGCAAATGTCATTCACGATATACAGAACAAAGAGATTATAACACATAGGTACCTTATAATTTCTATATAGGCCATTGTGTCATGAAAACCACATCTAATCTACAATGGGTAATTGGTGTAAATCAAAGCAACTTTAATCGTACATACTTTCAACAGCCAAATATGAAGCAAACATTCAAGCTAAATTGCCAAAATTGTAAGGGCCAGTACACGTTTTTTTAATGTTACTGAATACATTTGTTAAATACCTGCACCTCCACTTTAAAGATTAAAATGGCATGATGTTTCCATCAAATTTGAATGAATTAAAATACACGTTTGACAGACTATATTGAGTCCCACTAAAGCTACGTATCCTATGCTATTCCCCCCACCCCAGATGACCCACACAACAGTAATGAGAGCATATTCGGATATAATAGAAATGGGTCCAAACCTTTCTTATCATTCAGTTTAAATCCCCACTGCACTTCCTGGCAGCCTCCCAGAGAATTTCTGGATTACTGAGCAACAGAATCTTTCCCAGCTCGCATTCCCCAGTAAGTGCTTTCGCCACAGTGGTGTTATGCAATCATTCTGTGCGCTGAAAACCTTCAACGCTGAACAGTTTCGACTTCCACAAAATCCTGTATGCTTTTCTGTAGCACAAACCTACAGGGTGCCATGACCTATTTTAAGTGCGCAATGCAATAACTTAGATTTGCAGCAACATAATCGTTGACATCATTCAGCATTGAGAAACCAACATACTGTATATACCACCGACCCACCCTATGAACTGAACACAGCCTTGTATCTGTTATAATAATAATATTATTATATACCACCGACCCACCCTATGAACTGGACCCAGCCTTGTATCTGTTGGTGCAAACCTCCACAATTTTCAATCAGCATTGCCCTTCTGCATCGGGTATATCCAAGTGCAGCTACAATATCAGAACTGCACACTGTACCTCGATGTAACTTAAAATTATTGGGGGGACATTTTATGGGCTACATATACATGTTTATGTGTGTGCACTACTGTGGTCAAGAATCGACGATCCCTCCTGACATAACCGAGCAGTGGCTGATGGATATACGAGTGGGTGCGGAGGAGAGAGACGGGTACTGAGATTCCCTCCTGTAAGTGATCAGCGACTGTTTTAACATCCCCGCGATCTTCAGGATCTCATTGACATTTATTTCGAAACCGAAAAAAAAATAAAATACTCGGCTGCACACACACTGCACTGCAGGTAAAATGAATGCTCCGCGGGGGGAATGATTAAAAGAAACGCAAAAATAATAATAATAATAATAATAATAATAATCGCAAATCGGAATAAACATCGACTTTAACCCCCTACCCCCCCCCCCCCCCCCCACACCCCCACCTCAAAAAAAAATGTACGTTTGCTGCGGGAAAGGGTCAAAATGCCGAACATTAAATAGTTAACATCGACGGTCGTTGTCAGAACTGCAAATGATTCAGCAAAGGATTTTAGCGAACATCGGTGACTGCTGACAACTCGGAAGCCCGACTTGTTACCGAGGCAAAAAAAATAAAATAAAATAAAATAAAATAAAATTAAATAAAATCAATAAACAAACAAAACAACCCTTTCGGTCTTCAGCAACGTCTGTCTATCTTCAGCAACGTCTGTCTATCTTCAGCAACGTCTGTCTATCCAGTCCACGGAAAGAGAGCGGACACGACTCTCCCAAATCCGTGTCCGCACAACAGGACAGGATCGACCCGAGCGACCAGGAACACACCCAAACACACACCCAAACACACACACACACACCGCGCGGTATCCATCCCCTCCACTTAAATAACCACTGCCAATGGACACCTAACATTTACTCGGGGTTATGACATACCTAAGAGCCGGAACAAAGGGAATTCGGTTTCAAGAAAAAAAAGAGAGAAGGGGGAAGCGGAGGGAGAGGAGAGGAGGGGAGGGAGGGAGAGGGAGGGAGGGAGAGAGGGGGGAATAAAAGAGGAATGTATGGAAAATAAAGCGGACGGTGGAGCGCGGTGTGTGCAGGAGGCGGCGACACGGGCCAAACTGAAGGCTGTACCTGATGATGGTTGTAGGTGTTCCTCTGGTGAGGGAAAGCGGCCTGGTGTTGGTGTTGGTGTTGGTGTTGGGGATGGGGATGGTGGTGCTGGGGGTGGTGGTGGTGATGGTGTTGGAGGCCGACAGGAGATCGACGGTTCTGCTGCTGCTGCTGCTGCTGCTGCTGAGGTAAACTGATCTGAGGAGAGAAGGTGCCGCCGAAGCCCGGGCTCACACCGGCCGCATTGGCGGCGAAATTCTGGAAGAGGACTGTGCCGTTAATGGACTGGAGCCCGTGGAAGAAGCTGTCTTCGGCGGCGGCGGCGGCGGCTGCGGCTGCGGCGGCGGCGGGGCTCGGGATGGCACCGGTTCCGACGGAAGGTCCCGGGTTGTTCCCTCCAGCTCCCGATCCCGGTGAAGTGCTGGTCTGAGCGCCGGTGGCCGGTGACCAGGCAGTGCCGTAGCCGGTCAGAGCGGCGACCGGGGATGGAGAGGAGCCGCTGCTGCTGCTGCTGCCTCCGCTGCTGCCTCCCCCTCCGGGGCCGGTGTCCTGGTGATGGTGGAGCTGCTGTTGCTGTTGAAAGCCGCCGGCTCCGAGCCCCGGTAACATCCCGATGCCGCCGCCACTGGCCGCCGAGCAGCCGGTTCCGCCGATGCCGCTCATGTTACCGGGAGTCTCCATCATCCTCTGCACTGGGCTGCGGCTCGGTGGGTTCACAGCAGCGGCGGCGCAGACATTGGCATCGAGCGAGGAGGTCTCCGTGTCCTTTTCTCCTCCTCCTCCTCCTCCCCTCTTCTCCTCCTCCTCCCGGTAGCAGTGCTGCTGCTCTCCGGCGGTGGCGGGGTGGAGGCGGAGGTCCTGCTGTTGGTGAGGAGGAGGGTGGAGGAGAGCAGGAGGGGGAGGAGGAGGAGGGTGGAGGTGGTGGTTGCGTTTGCTCACGTTCTCCCAACAGCTCTGGGGTGGGGGGTCTCAGCCGTTCTCGTCCTTCTTTTTCTTGTTGTTGTTGTTGTTGTTGTTACCGTCCCTGTGCCCCGATTTGAGTGAGCGAAGAGCTCGGTGCGGAGAGGCTGCCGGTGCCGAGTTGCTCTTGTTGTTGTTGTTGTTGCTGCTGCTGCTGGCGGCGGCGGCGGCGGCGGAGCTGAGGAGGAGGAGGAGGAGGGCGGCGGCTGCTGCTGCTGCTGTCGTTGCTGCTGCTCTGGTGATGGTGGGAGTGCTTGTCGGAGCCGCGCTGTCCGGCATTAAAAAGTGCTCATCCTGTTACAGCAGTGTCGTACCCAACCGGGGGCACTGGGAAAAACAAAGAGGCGGGGGAAGAGGCGGTGCCATCGCCGTGTGAAGAAGACGAGCAGCAGCAGCAGGAGGAGGAGGGAGGGAGGGAGGAGAAGCCGCTAACACCGAGCTCTCATATCTGACCGGTGGGGGTAACACTCCGTTACCACCTCTACCTCCTCCTCCTCACACCGGCCGCCGTCGTCTGTAATAAACCGAACCGGTTATCCCCCATTTTAAGGTCACCCCCCACTCCACCCACATACACACACACACACACCTACTGACCACATTACATTAGAGAGGAAAAAAAAGCGCACCGACCCTATTGTTTTTTTTCGTCTCCGGTGGAGTTGGGTTTCAAAAAACGGTTATTTTTTTTAAAAAAAAATATGAAAGGGGGCGGTTGGAGGGGGGAAACGTAAGGCTTTTTTTTTGGGATATAACAATAACAATAAAATATATATTGGGTGTGTTTTGCGCTTTATTGCTCCTCATCAGATGGGAGTTACTTGGGAGGGGAGTGGGGGGGTTCCCCGCACTCTTCCCCCCCCACTTTCCAGTCACCGATTGATTGATTGATTCCCCCCCCCCAGCGATCGCCACCTCTTCCCCCCCGTCTCGGTATCACTGACCGACCCGACCCTCGCCTCTTCCCACACTGCGCTGTTTCCAGGCTTCCCTTCCCCCCCCCCCCCACCTCTCTGCCCTGGGGGGGGGGGCGCCCCCCAACCCCCACCCCTTCCCCCTCAGGTACACGCGCCAGGCGCACCGCCACCTCATTTGCATTGACGCGCACTCACCGCGCGCCGCCGGGAACACGGTTCAAAAACCGTTCTCAACCGCCTGCTCGCCGAAGGGGGGCGGGGGCGGGGCTAGAGCGAACTGGGCGGGGCTAGGCGCAAGAGTGGGCGGGGTTAGGAAAGGAGTGAGGGGAGGGGTAGGGCGAGGAGAAGTGGGCGGGGCCTGTGAGAGGTGTTGGGTGGGCGGGGCTTGGTGATGAGTCTCGGGGGGCGGGGCTAGAAGATGAGTGGGCGGGACTAGGAGTGGAGTGGGCGGGGCCGGGGTTAGGAGTGAAGGTGGGCTATGAGATGGGCTGACAGTGTGGAGGTGAGGGTGGAGTGGGGGTACCAGTGGGGGAGGCTATAGGAGCGGGAGGGGATAAGTGAGGGAGCAGGGACTAGCTGGAGGAGCGAGCAATGGGCAAGGCACACAAGCCGCTTCCTGGTCAATGGTCCAAAAAATAATAATAACGTAATAATAATCCTTGCATTTGATATAGCGCCTTTTCACGTCTTCTCGACGTCTCAAAGCGCTTCACAGAATACGCTGTAAAGTGAATTGACTGCATATTTGTGGGCGAAACGCGGCAGCCAATTGCGCACAGCAGTGTCCCACAAACAGTCGTGGATTGAAGTGACCGATTTATTATTGTTCTGTTTTCTTGAGGGATTATTATCAGGCGTGTGGAGTCAGGAAACTTGCCCAAGGTTTCGCCCTCTGCCTGGAATCGATCCCAGGTCTCTCGCTTGCAAAGTGAGTGCTCGAACCACTGAGCTACAGGACTCCACATGAGGCTATTTGTTTATATCGGGCAATCAGCAAACAAGTTAACCCAGGAAATCAGGAAACAGCTATTTTGCGGCGGCAATTTCTTGCGTTGTCACACCTGTCGAGTACAGTAAGGAGCTGATTATCCGTACTAATTGGGGTTTGCCCAGTTGACGATAAGCAAACAGTGAGAATAATTGAACATCATACAAAGTAGAAATTGGCTCCATTGCTACCTAAAAGGCAGTTCCATCAGGAGTTATACAGTTACTTGTAGTAGCAAAAGGTGCTTCTCCCTCTCCAACTCTGCCTTTTCTGACCCTCAACTTCGTAGTGTATAAAAGTTCAGTGAAACACACCTTGTGAGTCAGGCTTTCACACTATCAAGAAAAAATCCTGTTCTGCACATGTACAAAACTGCTAAGAATGTCCTTCAGATCAATCTTTACATTTGCTCAGATGCACTCATATGCACCCAACAGGATTTTTTGCTGGTATCTTAGCCCGTGTCCATTTCCATTGCGGAATTTGATACAGATAAATAGACATGCAAATATTTGGTGTGTGGACATTCTACTGTATTCCTTTTTTTTGAGGGCGGAGGGGAAGAGTGGAGAATTAAAACATAACCTGTTTTCATAGAAACGTAGGAATGTATATAACTGAAAAACACCACTACAATCCAATTGCCTGGTACCATTTTCAAATACTGTACCATTATTCCTTGTTTCACATATCCCCAATTCTCTTTTCTGGCAACAATAACAACAACAAATTACACTTGTATAGCGTGCTTCACATCGGAAAGACATCCCAGAACTATAAGACGTCAAAAAAATATAAGAGAAGGATGAGATTATTCAGCTTATCGAACCTGTTTTACCAGTTGATTAGATCATAGCAAATCTTTTAATCCCATTTCCCCACCTATTTTCCAAACCATTTAATGAGCTTACTTTCTATTTATCTCCCAGCCTCTAAGCCCTTTGGAAGTAGTAAATTTCACATTTTCACAAATGTTTTATGAATTCACTTCTGACCAGTTCAGTTCTAAGATTATGTTCCCTTTACTTTGCATCCCTCTTCCAGAGGGACAAGACATCTCCAAACTCCCCGGTCAAACACTTCCACGATAACTACTTTCTGCCTAACGTAATTAATCAAATCATTGCCTCACCCTGGTCTGAGTTTGAACTATGATCTCTTGAGAATCTCTTGACCATATTGGATAAAACATTGACTGTATCCTTTAGGATTTGGAAACAAATCAAATCATCTTTCAATTGTCTCTTTTCCAATGTGAATATTCCCAACTTCTGTGATATATCCTCATAGTTTATCCCCTGGACTGAAATTAATACTTTTAAGTGCAGAACCATACAATTTTACGACACAGAAGAAGGATATTTCAACCATTGTGTCTGTGTTGGCTCTTTTAAGAGCAATCATTTCCTCCCATTTACCTGCCCTTTCCTAGTTGCAGTTCTCTAGTTTCTAAACTCCGTACAACAACAACAAGATTCCATTTATAGAGCGCCTTTCACGTCGGGAGGACGTCCCAAGGCGCTGTACAGGTGGGTCAGGACCCGAGCAGGGGGGAAATGGTCAGGGTGAGGGAAGGGAGGGAGCAAGGAGGGGGGAAATGGTCAGGGTGAGGGGAGGGAAGGAGCGAGGAGGGGGTTGAGAGTCGAGAGGGGAGCTGAAGGCACGGTCAAAGAGAATTTTTTTTTTTTTCAACGCTCTCATCAAGGACGAGATCGTTGATGACCAGGTACATGAGTTCTAGCCAGGCTCCACTGGCTCCCTAACACAGAATGGATCAATTTCAAGATCCTGATACTCATTTTCAAATCCCTTCATCCGCTCTACCTCACCGACCTGCTTACTTCCCAATCTACTATCAGCTGCCTCTGTTCAACTGGCTCCGGTCTCCTGCTTGTCCCTCATGCCCTCTGTTCCACCATCGGTGGCCGCGCTTTCAGCCACTAAACCCCGAAACTCTGAAACACTTTTCCTCTATCCTTCCACCTTGCCTTCTCCTTCCCCATTTTCAGGTCACACCTGAAGACCTTCTTTTTCGACAGTGCTTACAATAACCTCTCTGCAGCTCGGCCTTGTGCTCCGCCACTGTCAAGCGATTTGGGACGCTACCCTGCATGAGGGGTGCTGTACAAATTCAAGTTGTTATTGTACCATTGCTTGGCAGAATCCTATCAACAAACTTTGTTGTCCTGTCTGCTGCCTCACACCACTGAATGTTTCAAAGAATTACCAACCAATACCCCATGGTCCTAGGTTGCACTGAAAACAAAACACTGTTCCATGTGCTTAAAATGGGTTTATCATCTATCTCAGTCTTTTTGATTATAAATCTCACGTCTAACATTTCCTCCATCTTGACAGCTCCTCTATTATGTTTACCTTAGTGTCCAAAATGCAGTGAATCATTACAGAGTTCCAACAAAAATCAATGGTGTGATAA